ACAGAAGGCAGGATGCAGAGTCTGAAACACAAGAAGCAGTCACAGTGGGCAGACAAGAATTCAGAGATTGGACCTTCATGTGCTGAGGATAACAGTCACCGTACAATAATAGCTGGGAAGAGCACAGAGGCAGCACTTCTGAGAGTAGAAGTAGACTTGGACAGCAAAGAGAAAGGCAAGAAGGTGCTTCTAAGTGCAGCAATTTATTAAAAGATTTCACTCTCTACTCTCGCTGTACCGACCAGCAGCTGCAGGGAAAGATTGGAGGGCAGAGTCAAGATGGTCGCTGCTCCGGAACCACCGTGGAATGTGTGCCGTGCGTGTAGAACACACATACCAGAAGTGACATCAGGAAAGGGCTGGTGACGCATTTCGAAGCATGCACAAACATTATAATAATTAGTACCACACTATGAAGAAGTTTTCTGTTTGATCCCTTCCATATATGGGGTATTGAACTAACCCTGAAATATTGCCATGCCTGTGGAAAAGTGCATTTCACCTACCTTGGTATACACTTAGGTGCTCAACATTTTCTGGTGAGTTCAGTCCCAGGGGGGCACAGAGTGAAGTGATCATTGTGGTGGAACAACACAGACGGTTTTGTACTTTATTTGTTGCAGACAGTCAACATGAGAATTGTGGCACTTTTTTCTTGAATGCACTGAAAATTTGATAGAGACTTCTAGCACTTAATCATTTATTGGCATTCATAGATCACATGTTACAGTGTACATTCACAATTGTCATTTATTTATTTCAGGTACTTATATAGCGCCGTCAATTTACACAGTGCTTTACACATATATATTGTACATTCACATCAGTCCCTGACCCTCAAGGGGCGTACAATCTAAGGTCCCTAACTTACATTCATACCTACACATATTAGGGCCAATTTAGACAGGAGCCAATTAACCTACCAGCATGTCTTTGGAGTGTGGGACCGGAGTACCTGGAGGAAACCCACACAGGCACAGGGAGAACATGCAAACTCCAGGCAGGTGGTGCCGTGGCTGGGATTCAAACCAACGACCCTAGTGCTGCCAGGCGGAAATGCTAACCATTTAGCCACTGTGCTGCCTGTCCTGTTTACATGATTTGATATTGGGAAAGTTCAGCTTTTAAGTTTAATAATAATTGGTAGAAAATACTAAAAGAAGATACTGTATATTAGAAATAAAATCAAAAAGTGACCTGATAAGATGAAATAATATCTGGAAGATCTGTTAGAATTAAATACCCTGAATATATAAAGTATGGGTCCTAAAAGGACTGATCCTGTACTGCACTAAAAAATTAAAAAATATGTTAAAGTATAAAAACAGATATACCAGGAAAGGAGTGGATGAGATAAAACCAGAAAATGTACATTAGGAAACTGTACTAATACTACAGTATATAAAGAAAAGAGGGGAAGGCCAACATACTGTATCTCCTGTTTCAGATGACAAACAAAAAAAGTGAGTATCCTAAATGTCCCACAAAAAATAAAATGTTACAATAAATCAGAAGTGGACAGAGAACGGGTCAACTGTTGTTTAAAAAACAATTACTATTCCCACTTAATATAAAGGCCAAGAGGAATATTGGTCCTCAAATTCTAAATTGTCTTCAGTTTGGATTTTTCTCTTTTAGTAAAACTACCTCACTAGCATGGGTTATGCTTATCAATCCCCATAAATAGGGTGCCAGCAGGATTTTTTTGTTGTGAAAGGTGGCTTCGTTTTTGAGACACTTTGTCCCTTAACCACTTACAGTCCGGACACTTTCACCCCCTTCCAGTCAAGGCCGATTTTCAGCTTTCAGCACTAGCACACTTTGAGTGACAATTACTCAGTCATACAACATTGTACCCATGTGAAAATTTTTATCCTTTTTTTGAGATAGAGCCTTCTTTTGGTGGTATTTGATCACCACTGGGTTTTTTTTTATTTTTGTTATATAAATGAAAAAATACTGAAAATTTTGAAAGAAAAAATCATTTTTTGCTTAGTTTTTGTTATAAAATTTTGCAAGTAGATAATTTTTCTTTAGAAATTTAGGCCAAAATGTATTCTGCTACATTTTTTTGGGTAAAAATAACCCAAACAGTTTATATTATTTATTTTGTGTGAAAGCTATGAAGTCCACAAACTATGGGCTATATATTTGAAAACTGATCAGCTGAGATCCTAAAATGCCGGACACTGCTATGGCATATGGCAGTGATCAGGAGCTCCCAGGTATGACCAGAGATGTGTGACTGACGCAGGGAAACGCAGACTTCAGATATGGGATAAACAATATAATTTATTAACACTAACCATACAAACATAAACGCAGTGCAATACTAAACATAATACAGTGCAAACAAACCAACCACCCACAGATAACAGTACATACAAGCAAGCGTCGTCAGGCAGGCCGGGTCAATATCAATTGGGCAGGTAGGTACAGGGGGAGCAAGCGGAGAATGGTCGGGGTCACAAGCCAGGGATCAGAACAGGTAGCAAGCAGCGTAGTACAGAGGGTCAGGCAGAGGGATGGTCAGGGTCACAAGCCAGGGATCAGGACAGGTAGCAAGCAGCGTAGTACAGAGGGTCAGCAAAGGAACAGAAACAGGATGCAGGACAGATACAGGGCCCAGGACAAACACAACACCAAGGCAGAGTCTGTGGGTCTGGCCATCCCTTAAATACCCCAGCATAATCAGTTCCAGGTGTTAGCTGGCTGCAAAGTTGAGTCTCTGATTGCTGGGAGCACCCGCTGGCCAGCCCTGGTACTGCAGATCAAAAGGCAGGTGAGTCCCACCATTGCTGGCCAGTCCATTCCTGACAGTACCCCCCCCTCAAGGAGCGGCCTCAGGACGCTCCAAACAGTCCTAGCTGGGAAAAATGTTCCACCGCCCGGGTCTGGTAACTGGCGGGATATCAAAGACTGGCACACCTGGCAGGACTCCGGGCAGCGGTACACCAGGCAGAGGCACAGAGGCACGGGCTGGACACCGGGCAGAGGCACATTGGGCTGGACTCCGGGCAGAGGCACACCGGGCTGGACTCGGGCAGAGGCACACCGGGCAGAGGCACATCGGGCAGAGGCACATCGGGCTGGACTCCGGGCAGAGGCACATCGGGCTGGACTCCGGGCAGAGGCTCCGGGCAGAGGCACATCGGGCTGGACTCCGGGCAGAGGCACATCGGGGGCTGGACTCCGGGCAGAGGCACATCGGGATTCCGGGCAGACATCGGGCTGGACTCCGGGGAGGCACATCGGGATCCGGGCACATCGGATTACCGGGCGAAGCAGCAGGCACAGCGGGTCACCGGGGGCGGAGCAGCAGGCACCGGGCCCCCGGGCGGAGCAGCAGGCACCGGGCCCCCGGGCGGGGCAGGCACCGGGCCCCCGGGCGGAGCAGCAGGCACCGGGCCCCGGGCGGGGCGACCGGCATCGGGCCCCCGGGCGGGGCGACGGCATCGGGCCCCCCCCGGGCGGGGCGACAGGCATCGGGCCCCCAGGGGGCGGGGCGACCGGCATCGGGCCCCCAGGCGGAGCGGCGGGTGCCGGGCCCCCAGGAGGGGCGACAGGCATCGGGCCCCCAGGCGGGGGGCGACAGGCATCGGGCCCCCCGGGGCGGGGCGGACAGGCATCGGGCCCCCAGGCGGGGGCGACAGGTCTCGGGCCCTCAGGCGGGGCGGCGGGCGGGCGCCGGACCCCCAGGTGGAGCGCGACAGGTCTCGGGCCCTCAGGCGGAGCGGCGGGCGCCGACCCCCAGGTGGAGCGACAGGTCTCGGGCCCTCAGGCGGAGCGGCGGGTGCCGGACCCCCAGGCGGAGCGACAGGTCTCGGGCCCCCAGGCGGAGCGACAGGGTCTCGGGCCCCCAGGCGGAGCGGCGGGCGCCGGACCCCCAGGCGGAGCGACAGGGGCCCCTCGGGCCCCCAGGCGGAGCGACAGGTCTCGGACCCCCAGGCGGAGCGACAGGTCTCGGGCCCTCAGGCGGAGCGGCGGGCGCCGGACCCCCAGATGGAGCGACAGGTCTCGGGCCCTCAGGCGGGCGGAGCGGCGGACCCCCAGGTGGAGCGACAGGTCTCGGGCCCTCAGGCGGAGCGACAGGTGGGTCTCGGGCCCTCAGGCGGAGCGCGGCGGACCCCCAGGTGGAGCGACAGGTCTCGGGCCCCCAGGCGGAGCGACAGGTCTCGGGCCCTCAGGCGGAGCGGCGGGCGCCGGACCCCCAGGCGGAGCGGACAGGTCTCGGGCCCCCAGGCGGAGCGACAGGTCTCGGGCCCCCAGGCGGAGCGACAGGTCTCGGGCCCCCTCAGGCGGAGCGGCGGGCGCCGGACCCCCAGATGGAGCGACAGGTCTCGGGCCCTCAGGCGGAGCGGCGGGGCCGGACCCCCAGGTGGAGCGACAGGTCTCGGGCCCTCAGGCGGAGCGGCGGGCGCCGGACCCCCAGGTGGAGCGACAGGTCTCGGGCCCTCAGGCGGCGGAGCGGCGGGCGCCGGACCCCCAGGCGGAGCGACAGGTCTCGGGCCCCCAGGCGGAGCGACAGGTCTCGGGCCCTCAGGCGGAGCGGCAGGCGCCGGACCCCCAGGTGGAGCGACAGGTCTCGGGCCCTCAGGCAGAGCGGCGGGCGCCGAGTCATCTGGCACGACAGTGGGCTCCGAGTCAACTGGCATGACCGCTGGCACTGGGTCAGACATTGGATCGTCTGGCTGGACAGCGGGCATCGGGTCACCCGGCATCAGGTCATTTGGCTCGACCGCGGGCACCGCATCATCTGGCAAGGCAGTGGGCTCCGAGTCAACTGGTATGACCGCGGGCACTGGGTCAGACATTGAATCGTCTGACTGGACAGCGGGCATCGGGTCACCAGGCATCAGGTCATTTGGCTCAACAGCGGGCACCGCGTCATCTGGCAAGGCAGTGGGCTCCGAGTCAACTGGTATGACCGCGGGCACTGGGTCAGACATTGGATCGTCTGACTGGACAGCGGGCATCGGGTCACCAGGCATCAGGTCATTTGGCTCAACAGCGGGCACCGCGTCATCTGGCAAGGCAGTGGGCTCCGAATCAACAGGCACGACAGTGGGCACCGGGTCATCAGGTACCGGATTGTCTGGCTCGACAGCGGGCACTGGGTCACCAGGCATCAGGTCATTTGGCTTGCCAGCGGGCACCGCGTCATCTGGCAAGGCAGTGGGCACCGGGTCACCAGGCATTGGATCGTCTGGCTCGACAGCGGGCATCGGGTCACCAGGTATGACAGCGGGCACTGGGTCACCAGGCATCAGGTCATTTGGCTCGCCAGCGGGCACCGCGTCATCTGGCAAGGCAGTGGGCACCGAGTCACCAGGTACGACAGCGGGCTCTGAGTCAATTGGCACGACAGCGAGCACCGGATCAGGTACCGGATCATCTGGATCAACAGCGGGCATCGAGTCAACTGGCCTAATAGGATCATCAGGCTGGATCAGTTCATCATGCTGGGTAGAGGCATCAGGCTGAATGCCGGCGTCCGGCTGAGTAGAGGCTTCAGGAGTAGAGGCTTCAGGCCGAGTAGAGGCTTCAGGCCGAGTAGAGGCTTCAGGCCGAGTAGGCTTCAGGCCGAGTAGAGGCTTCAGGCTGAACCACGGAAGGCAGGTTCACCAGTTTGGATACTGGCAGGATGGTATTGGTTGGAAAGAATTTTCGCTTTTTTTCTGGTTTTAACTACTGGAGCACTGCAAGTAAACGCAGGTCTGCAAACGAATGGAGCAGCTGGAGACAGAGAAGAACTGGAGGATGGAACAGGAGAGGGAGCAGTTGCTACAGAGGGCTTTTTTACAGGGTTAAAGGCAGGATAGGTGCAGCGAGTGGGAACAGGGTACTGACATGCGGTAGATAGCCAAGTATACTGGGCTGTAACTGGAGGAGCTGTTGGGAATACAGGAGAAGAGTTAGAAGCAGGACTGGGTTTTTGTAAGCTGACTGAGGCTGGGTGCAACAAGTCTGTCCATGTCTGCAGTAGGGGTTGAACAAAGCTGAGCTTACACAAAGCCTGTCTGGTCAATGACTGCACTGCGTTTATACAATCTCTTAGTGTCTGTGGTGAACATGTGGAATAACGCTCCAGAAAGTAACCCACATCATCCTCTAATAACCACACCAGGGACTCTACCTGGTCTGCACTAAATGGTGGCAAAAATTCATCCCTGCATTCGGGGGAACCAGATGAAACCAACTCTGCACAAACCTCAATCAAAGGCTGCACCTCAGAGAACTCTGTGCCCTGATCTACTAGAACATGAGCGAGCCGTATACATTCTAGCAGTTCATCCCGGGGATACTCCTTCAGAGGTTGATAAGCATACTCCCTGTCATCAAACACTAGCAGAGATAAATACTCAACCTCATCCAGATCCATCCTTCCCATCAACAAACCAAGATGGCTTCCCTGTGCAGCCACTTCTGGTCAGGATTGGCCTTGGTGTAATGTCAGGGCTCCCAGGTATGACCAGAGATGTGTGACTGACGCAGGGAAACGCAGACTTCAGATATGGGATAAACAATATAATTTATTAACACTAACAATACAAACATAAACGCAGTGCAATACTAAACATAATACAGTGCAAACAAACCAAACCAACCACCCACAGATAACAGTACATACAAGCAAGCGTCGTCAGGCAGGCCGGGTCAATATCAATTGGGCAGGTAGGTACAGGGGGAGCAAGCGGAGAATGGTCGGGGTCACAAGCCAGGGATCAGAACAGGTAGCAAGCAGCGTAGTACAGAGGGTCAGGCAGAGGGATGGTCAGGGTCACAAGCCAGGGATCAGGACAGGTAGCAAGCAGCGTAGTACAGAGGGTCAGCAAAGGAACAGAAACAGGATGCAGGACAGATACAGGGCCCAGGACAAACACAACACCAAGGCAGAGTCTGTGGGTCTGGCCATCCCTTAAATACCCCAGCATAATCAGTTCCAGGTGTTAGCTGGCTGCGGTATGGTGTATGGCAGTGTTCAGGGTGCTGGTATGGCGTATGGCAGTGATCAGGGTGTTGCTTTGGGTTATGGCGGTGATCAGAACATTGGTATGGTGTATGGGGGTGTTTTGTACGCAATGGGACAGGTGACCGCGCCTCCCTGCATTATTTATTATTGTTATTGTGGGGCAGTGATCAGGGACAGGCTGCTGTACAATCACACTGCAAGATTGGTTCTCTCTGCTCTCACACTGAGAACAGAGAGAACCAATCTTTACTTTCAGTTTCAAGTGTTTACTATACGAGTGCTGTGATTGATCAGAGCAGTCACATGGTAAAACACCATGTGATTGCCTAAACATAGTGGTAATGTGATCCGCTGTGTCCGGGGGGGCACATCAATCACCGGGCTCTGGGGGTGCGCACTCTCTGTGAGCTGCGCACGAGCCATCGATGCGAGCTGACGTACAGGAACGTTAGCCCGCATCGGCACTACTTCGTGCCTGCTGTCTGTGTACAGTGGGTGGGGCAGGAAGAGGTTAAATCCTGTCTTAGTGCCGGTCCACGCTGATGCAGTGTGGAATTCGCAGTGATTTTTATGCGTTTCCCACACTGCATCACACTCCGTTCATGCTGATTAACCCCCCTGGCGGTATTCCCAAGTGTTGCTCGGGGTAAAGTTTCAGTACCACAAGCGGTAACCCCGAGCTACACTCGGGAATACCATGCGGAGCTGCTCCGGGATCCCTCGATCACTTACCTTGTCCTGCGCTCCCGCGATGTCCCTCCTGCAGTGTCCCCTGTAATATCCTCCGGCGGATGTCGGCATCTGTCATCTGGGTTCTGTCCCCTGCTGGCGTCGGGACGTACGGGGATGGAACTGGCGGGTAATTTGAAAATGACAAAAAGTGACATTCACTAAATACACTAAAATCACATAGTAAAACATTACTGTATCAAACCATTTCACATACATTTTGTCCCGAGTGCTTTGTCCTGTGCCCTGCCTGCATTTTTACTGTTCTTTCTGCCTGGAAATTGAGAAATGTCCATGGTGTCCAAAAAGCGTCCCATTAGGTCAAAAGTGGTTTTAGACCAGCTAGAGAACAGCGATAGTAAATCAGAACCACTTGCAGAATTGAGTGATAATGATTCGTGGGGAAATTCGCCATCAGACACTGAAAACGATTCTGCAACTTTGCTCAGTGATGTGCGAACTTGGCGCTATATTTCAAATTTCAGTGTTTTTGGTTTGGTTATATTATTGAATTAAATTTATTATTATTATTATTATATTATTATTTTTTATGATTATTTATTAAATTAGAATTTATGATTTCGTGTTTCATATTTTAACATACCCGGGATGTTTACTAGACTCTTGTTCGGACAGATTTCAGAGAGTTATTCCTAAGAATTACAGGCCTACAATAAAAAAAATACATATTTCCATGCAAAAAAATGTACCGCTTTGAGCACAGAAATATGGACATAATCAGACCGCTAGGGAGGTTAAATCAGCAGCAGAATCATAAATATGAACATAGAAAAACTCACATCCGGCCCATAGGAATGCAGCTATGGTATACAGGAATGTGAACACAAATTCCAAGATGGCCGCCGGCCTCCCTCGTGGCTCAGTAGTATCACTGGCTTGGCCCCTCCCTCCCCGAGACCTGACTTTTACTTTAAGGGTTCCTCTACGGTAAAAAGGTTCATAAAGTATAATCAGAATGAATGGAAGCCCCACACATCACGTAAGAGCAGTGTGTGGATGTGGCTGTGGATGCGGGAACAGGTGCAATTCCTGCAGCTGCAGACTATGGGCAAGTGTGAACCTAGCTTTAGGGCCCTTTCACAGTAGAATGCAGCGTGGGAAAGCTGCATTCCTGTGTGGCTTCCCGAACTGCATTCCAGTTGCACTGCCCTTGCAATCTACTGCAGTAAGGCTTGGTTCACACGTCTGGTCTTTTTTTATGAACTGCCGGATTCGCACAGGTGTTCAGATATACTCCGATTCTAATGCTTTCCAATTCACATGCAGTTCCCAGTGTGAAAGTGTGAAAGGGCAAGTAGACCACTTGTGCTAAGGAACCTTTCTCAGCCATTATACATCCTGAGAAAGATAATTCAAAGGAATTTACGGGAACAAAACAAGAAAACCCCAAAGGCCTCAGAACACGAGATCCCCAGATTGATCAATGTGCTGCTATGTAAAAATCTGCTGATACTTGAAAGAGATTATTGATTATGTAAATCAACCAGTGTTCTACCCATAGTGCATGTCATACTCTCTTATCTCCTACTAATGAGGACTAATGATACAGGGAAGCTATTTGCAGCACATGCTAAATGCTGCCTGATGAGGAGTTAACAAGTATTTATTGTCTTGTGAATACTTGTTATCATTCATTGTATGCTGTAACTTTCTGCAATTAATTTACATTGCATTGCTGCAATGCAAAAGCTAAAAAGGAAGACGAAATATGAGTCAAGATCATGACATGTAAGTCTATCTTTTTGTTTTTCAATAAAATGTGTTTTCACACACTTGTTTTTGTTTTTGTTTTTTTCATTTTTTTTTCTATTGACTATTAGAACAACTAGTTACATTTTTATTTGCTTTAAATTAATTTCAGTAGGTTTTTTAAAATATGGTAAGTATGCTGCCATTAAAAGCAAATGATGTCTTTTCAATGATCATGTTTTAATTAACAGTGAAAAATTTACCTTAACAACTTCAAGTCCGGACACTTTTACCCCCTTCCAGTCCAGGCCAATTTTCAGTTTTCAGCGCTACTGCAAACATTGCAACACTGTACCCATATGAATTTTTTAGCATTTTTTTTTGAGACAGATAAAACTTTATTTTGGTGGTATTTATTTACCACTGGGATTTTTTTTTTTGCTATAGAAATGAAAAAGTCCAAACATTTTTTTAAAAAAGTGTTTTTCTTATAAAATTTTGCAAATAAATAATCTTTTCTTCGTAAATCTTGGCCAAAATTTATTCAGTTATCTTTTTAGTAAAAAACAAATACCACAAATTAAAGGGTGTAAAAGCAATAATTTCTCCTCTCTGGCTGCATTCTTGCAGCCATTGAGAAATACTGAGTGGGCTGTGATTGGTCACAGCTTGTCACATGGTACAAGGCTGTTGTGGCTCTAATGAAGAGGTTGTGTCCTCGAAACGCGTTAGAAAGTTGGTCATCCAGGGTTCCATCTTATGTACTCAGATGATGTTTGGATCATACATCTTGTTCAGTTTGACATGCCTGTGTTTTTATGTCTATTGTGAGTATGATACTTACTTTGTTTCTTCAATAAATATTTTAAACGATAATGCACTAGGTCGATGCACCCTTTTCCTTTTTCTCCATTTACAAGGCTGTTGTGAATAGCCCTGTACCATGTGATCTCTGTGATCATTCACAGATTTCACACATAGTAAGCAATGATGTCAGAAGTGACATCTTGCTTACCACTCTTCATGTGATTACTGATTGGCCAATCAGTGATCACATGATCGGGACCTCACACAGAGGTGTTCCACTGTGTCCAGAGGATACAGCGGGCACCGGATCGCGGTGCTGTGCGCACAAGCAGGGAGGCCATTTATAAACGGCCACCCGCCCCTGCACTGCTCCCGTTGGGCCGTTTATATACATGGGCTGGAGGGGAAGTGGTTAAAGAGATCCTG